CAGGGAGAGCAGATTTGGGCCATCAATCCACATTAGGGAGGCTCCGTGGCCACATAGAATTCCAGCAGGAGGAATTCCAGCGCCCCCCCAAAAAAAAAGGCGTTTTTCAGGATGGGATTTGATCCCGGGGGATCCTTTGCCCTCAAGTTCACGCTGGGTTTTCCTTCTGCTCCTCTCCCTTTTCCCCTTTTGACTGTGGTTCAAAGAGTCCTTGTGGTTCACTGGGTGCTTTTGCCCCTGAGCTGGGGTTAAGTTAAACCCTGCAGGAGCTAAACCCAGCCCTAAAACACCTGTAGGGGTGTGGGGGGCTCTGATCCCAAAGGATTTGGGGCTGAAAATCCCAGAAATCCCAGCCCTTGATCCCATTCCAGGCCGAATTCCTGCCGCCCTGTCATTAGAGCTCAGAACCCGCCCTGGTTTGGGGTTTTCTCCTGCAGTCCCGGGAATTTGGGCACATTCAGCACAATTCCCTGCTTTTCCTGCCCGCGGGGCCAAGCCTGGATCCCAGTGGCTCCAGGAGATCAGCTGGGAATTTTTAACCCTGTTTTCACCAGGTTTTTAACTCAATTCAAGGCTGCCAGCACGATTTGGGGAGGAAAACACCGAATTCTCAATTTTTTTTTTTTTTTTCTTTCTGCAGGATGTGAATTTAAACCTGGAAAGGTTTTTGGTGTTCCACTCCCGATATTCTTCATCTCTGCATCCATGGCTCCCACATCAAATCCTGGGACAGCCCAGGGAATTCTGGGGTGGGATGAGAGCAGTGACTGGGGATGCCCAATTCCATCTGGACAGAATTCCCAGTGCCCTTTACACCGAACACAAGAATTCCACTGGAATTTGGGGAGGAAAAAGCCGAATTCACAATTTTTTTTCCTCCAGGATGTGACATCTCCCTGTGAGTTCCTTGATTTTTTTTTTTTTTTTTTTTTTTTTTTTTTTTAAATTCATGATTTTTTTTCCTCCAGGATGTGACAGTTCCCTGTGAGCTGTGAGATCCTTAATTTTTTTTGGGAAAAACCCAAGTTTTCCTGTGAGTTCCTTGATTTTTTGGGGGGAAGGCCCAAGTTTTGCTGTGAGTTCCTTAATTATTTTTGGGAAAAACCCAAGTTTTCCTGTGAGTTCCTTGATTTTTGGGGGAAAAGCCCAGGTTTTCCTGTCCCCCAGCACAGCAGAGGGACAGCGTGACCCCCCTTGGGTGCGGCAGTGGCTGAGGTGAAGCTGCTGTGGGGTGAAACCCCCGAATGTGGGGCTGCTCTCAGCCCTCATCCCCACCCTAATTAACAGATTTACTAATTTGGGACTCGTTATCCCGGAGCATCCCAGGGGCAGCTTGTTCCAGCTGCTCCTGAGTGGCATCCAGAGGGTTTCTAACAGCACACAAAAGGAGTTTGACAGCGGCAGGATTAAACTTGAAAGAGAAATAAGGGGGGAAAAAAATCACATTAAATCATTTTAGAGATCATAGAGATGGAGCAGGGAAAGAAGCAGGATGGGGACGATGGAAATCAGGGATGGGGACTCTGGGACTGGGTTTTCCTCACCAGGGCCTTTATTTGCTTTCCAGGCAAATATTTGGCTCCAAACCCTGAGGGGTTCCTGCCCTGACATGTGGGCAGTGCCAGGCCCTCCCTTCCTCTTTTCTCCTCCCCTTCCCTCCTCCATTTAGCCCCCACTCCCTCCAAAAAAACCCTTGGAATTCCCACCCAAAATCACGCAGCAGCGTGAGGAAGCAAACCCTGCCTAATTCCTGGCAGTTTTTCCGAGATATTTTGATTTTCCAGGGGCAAACTGAGCCACCTCCAAAGGCATTTCCAGAAGTTTTCCCGAGCCCCAGGTTCACAAGGAAGAACTGGGACAAATCCCGGTGTTTTGTGTATTTTTGGGAGCTGCTGTTTATTTGTTTTGGGCGCTGATTTGCCAAGGAATTTGCTTCGGTTTTCCCACAGAAACATCCCAGGTTTTTTTCTCCTGTTTCTCCTTTTATCAGCTTGAGGCTCAGCAATTCCCTGTGGGAATGTGCTGCTCCCTGCACACTGGCCCTAAAAAAGGTGATTTTATTATTTTCCTGCCTTTTGGAAAATCCTTGTCCTTCTGAATCCAATTAAACCCCCACAAGCAGATCGAGCTCCTCACATCTCACCTCCACCAAAAACCCCTCAAGGCCAACTCATTCCATTCAAACCACACCAGATTGGGGCAAAAACATCAAAAAAAAAAGCTGTGAAATCCATTTTTCTCCTCACATCCCAGCTCTGAAAGCAGATGGAGGGGTGGGGCTAAAAGGAGACAACTCAAAACCAGAAAATTGTCAAAATCCAGCAGAAATAATTCCTCCCCTCCCCTCCCCTGCGAGGTTCTGGAGCAGGGAGTCCCAGCTGGCTCCTTCCACCTCGAGCTGAGCTTCTTCTTGGGATTTCCACTCCAGCAGTGCTCGAGGAATACAATAAAAATTAATTATTAAAACAGCAGGATGAAAAAAAAAAGAAATCAGCTGCCAGGGCGCTGAAATATTTTTAGCTGATTGCCGGAGTTTAGAACAACAGAAATGGAGTCACGGAGCTCCTCTGTGGGGATCTGTGGGGCCTGAGCTTGGCTTTGAGGGATGGAGGATTCCCAGTGCCCCTCAGCCAAAATCCAGGTTTTTGGGGAAGAGTTTTTGGGTGAGAAAATTGAATTATGTGGATTTTCTTCAGGTCACTTCATCCTGGAACATTTTGGGGGAGTTTTGAGTGGAAAGAGCTCTGGGATGTGAGGCCTGTGGGACTTTGAGGAGTGTTCCTCAGCCAAAAATCCATGGTTTTGGGGAAAATTTTGGGGTGAGAAAATTGAATTATGTGGATTTTCTTCAGGTCACTTCATCCTGGAACATTTTGGGGGAGTTTTGAGTGGAAAGAGCTCTGGGATGTGAGGCCTGTGGGACTTTGAGGAGTGGAGGATGCCCAGTTCCCCTCAGCCAAAAATCCAGGGTTTTGGGGAAAGTTTTTGGGTGAGAAAATTGAATTATGTGGATTTTCTTCAGGTCACTTTATCCTGGAACTTTTTGGGGGAGTTTTGAGTGGAAAGAGCTCTGGGATGTGAGGCCTGTGGGGCCTGGCCTTGGCTTTGAGGGATGGAGGATTCCCAGTGCCCCTCAGCCAAAATCCAGGTTTTTGGGGAAGTTTTTGGTGAGAAAATGAGAATTTTCTTCAGGTCACTTCATCCTGCAACTTCTTTGGGTTTTACAGTGTAGGGAAGTCTGGTGGATTTGGAAATTATTTCCTGAGAGGTTTCCTGCAGGCCTGAGCGGGCTCTGGGCCACCTTTTTTTTTTTTTGGAAAATCATTTCCCTGAAGCCCTTTTTTGATAGGTGATAAAACCCTGCCTGCTTTGGATCAGCACCTTCCCTTGGTGCTGAGCTGGAAAATTCAGATTTCCAGGGAAGAAATGGAAGTTTTGAGTGGAAAGAGAACAGAGAGAAGCCGTGGGGTTACACTGGAGGAATGCCTGGGCTAAGATAGAAAATGTCCAAGGTGCTTTCCCTGCAAACCCCACAGGATTTGGGATATTTCCAGGCAGATTTATGGGATCTCTGGTGCTCCATCCTCTTCAGGGACAAACTTTAGAACACTCAACAGATTCATTAATTTCTTTATATTAAATAAATGAGAGAAAGGGAGGAAAAGGAGTGTGACACCCACAGGGGCAAACAGCACAGGGATTTAGGGAAGGAATTATTTGAGAATTTCGGGAATTCAGGGCAGGATGCTGCTGTGGTTGAAACTTGTTCATCACAGGAGGACATGGGGACACCTCACGTGTCACATCCTGGGCTGGCAGGTGGTTAAACTTCACCCTGGGATCAGGAGCTGCCTGGGTCACACCAGGAGTTTTTTTTTTTTTTTTTTTTCCTCGTAAAATAAATGCCTCTGGGGGCCGGCTGATTTATGGAGGGCACAAACAACATCCCTCCCCCGGTGCCACTTAACTTTTCATTTTCTATCTGCCCTAATTGCTGGGGACATGTGGGGAAATCACCCTGCAGCCCCCGGGGAGCCTGGCCACGAGGTCACGGGGGCTTGGAGCAGCCTGGCATGGGGAAAGGGGTGGGATGAGCTGATTTTAAAGTTCTTTTCCAGCCATTCCACCGTTCCACGGGTGGCTCTGTCACGGCTGGGGCACAGCGCGGTGACAGCGATGTCCCCAGTGCGGGTCACCCCTGTGACCTGTGGGGTGCCAGCGGAGCAGGACCGGCCCTGCCTCAGTTTCCCCAGTGGGGAGAACCCAGGAGCATCCTTGGGGTGGAATTGGGGGGGACAGGGAGGGAAATGCCGGGGTGCCACCCCTCTTTGAGCACCTCGGGGGTGCGGGATGGAGAGAGGACAGACCAAAACAGGGCTGGGGACAGCTGCCACTCCGAGTGGGGGTGACAGAGTGACAGGGAGGGACAGACCCTCCTTTTCGGCATCTCGGGGGTGTGGGATGGAGTGAGGACAATCCAGAACAGAGCTGGGGACAGCTGCCACTCTGAGTGGGGGTGACAAGGAGGGACAAACCCCCACTTTGGACATCTCGGGGGTGCAGGATGGAGTGAAGACAATCCAGAACAGAGCTGGGGACAGCTGCCACTCTGAGTGGGGGTGACAAGGAGGGACAAACCCTCCCTCTGCGCATCTCGGGGGTGCCGGACGGAGCGAGGGACACCCCGCCACAGAGCTGGGGACAGCTGCCACTCACGGTGAGGGGGTGGCGGGGCCGGCTGCGGTCCCTACACCTTTAAAAGTCTCCTCACGTTGCGGCGCTGATTATCCATTAACCGAGGCTCCCTTTCCTGGGGGCGGCGTTCGCACCGAGCGCTGCCAGCAGGGCGGGCGGGCGGGCGGCCGCGCTGCCTTCCTCCCTTCCTTTCTCCCTCCCTCCTCTCCCCCCTAACCCCCGCTCCCTCCTTATCAGCAATTCAGATTGCATGCAAATCTGCGCGCTTTCTTCCAGGGCCACGGCGGCGAGCGCCGAGCGCTCCTCCAGATCTCCTCCTCCTCCTCCTGGGATTTTCCTCCTCCTCCCCTCCCCTCGCTCCCTCCCTCCTCTCTTTCTTTCCTCCTTTTCACCTCCTGGAACAAAAGTGGCCCTTTCGGCTGCGCCAGCGCTGCCTGCGAGCGGGGCCGCTTTGTCTGCCGGGGTCACCGGCACCGCCACCGGGCCGCCACCACCATGGGGACACGGCGGGCGCTGGGAGCGGTGGCACTGCTGGCGCTGGCACTGGCCAGCTGCCCCGAGCGGGAGCTGGAGCGCAGGGAGGAGGAGGCCAACGTGGTGCTGACGGGCACGGTGGAGGAGATCATGAACGTGGACCCGGTGCACCACACCTACTCGTGCAAGGTAAAACCGCGCGGGGGGAACTTTCGCCCCGTGCGGTTTGGGGTGGGATCGGGTTTTTTTGTTTTTTTTTTTTTTTTTTAAGGTGGTGGAGAGGTTCCAGCTGCTGTGTGTGGTGGTGGTGGTGGGGGGGGGGGGATCTCCAGAGGTTGCTTTTTATGGGCATTTCCCTCTTTGGCTTTGGCGTGATGCGGAGCTGCCTCCCAACTTTCCGGGAGGTGCTGGGAGCCTCTGCTGTTGACTTTAGCAGCATCTCGAGTTCCTGCAGCCCGAGCTATTGTTTAACCACCAACCTGGCCTCGGGCTCTGGGGTTTTTCTATCTCCCCCAGAAGCGGAGAGACGCTGAAGTCCCGAGCAACCTGAAATCCCATCCGCCAGCTTGACAGAAAACGTGCCGGATGCCTTAACCCTTGCCGGGGCAGGAATCTCGCTTGCAAGGACACGCTCTTCCCTTGCCTTTTCCTCTTCCCCCCGTTCCCCTTTTCCTCCTAAAAAATCCTGCTTCTGCTCGGTGCCGAGCGGGGCCGGGGGCGATGCTTTGGTGGCGGAGAGGAAGGCGAACTTTCCCGCGGAGCTCTGGAGCATCCCCCGAGCATCCCCCAGCCCCTGCCCGCCCAGCTGGTGCCCGGTGCCCGCTCCCAGCGCCCCCCGACCCATCTGCAGCTCCCGAGGAGCTCGCAGCCCCCCCCGGCACCGTCTGTTTGCAGAGTGTCTGGCACATCCTGGGTGCTCCGCCGAGCATTAATGAGCTGTGCCCGTGGGGCACGGATGGATGTGGCCACCTGAGGCCGGCGCGAGGTGGCCACAGGAGGTGGCCCAGTGGCGCTGGTGGCGAGGCAGAAATGCCAGGGTGGGAGATAAATCCTTTTTCTCCCGCTGCGGACTCACAGCGAGGTGTCTGCCTGGCAGAAAATCATCCTGCAGCAGCAGGGCAGGACTCTGGGGCAGGGGGAAAGCTGGGATGGGGGGAAAAGCTGGGATAAGGAAAAGCTGGGATAAGGAAAAGATGGGATGGGAAAAGCTGGGACGTAAACAGCTGGGGTGTGAATAGCTAGGATAAGGAAAAAATGGGATGGGGGAAAAGCTGGGATAAGGAAAAGCTGGGATAGGGAAAAAGCTGGGATAAGGAAAAGATGGGATGGGAAAAGCTGGGATGTGAACAGCTGGGGTGTGAATAGCTAGGATAAGGAAAAAATGGGATGGGAAAAGGTGGGATAAGGAAAAGATGGGATAGGGGAAAAGCTGGGATAAGGAAAAGATGGGATGGGGGACAAGCAGCTCTGCCTTTGCAAGGTGCAATGCAGCCCCAGCTGGAGCAGCAGGAGTGGGATGGGGCTGCCCGTGGTGGCTCTCTGGGAAGCACAATCTGAATTCCTTACACTGGGAAGGGAATCTCTTCCCTGCCTTTCCCTGAGCAGTGCCCGGGGGTCGGTTTGTGCTGCTTGCTCTGGAGTTTGGGATTTTGCTCCTGGTCTCCAAAGAGCACAGAAGGGCCAGGACAGGTTCCTGAGGGATCATTCCAGCCTTGGAGTCGTGTAAAAGTGAAAGCAGGAAAGCTTTCATCCCATCCCATCCCATCCCATCCCATCCCATCCCATCCCATCCCATCCCATCCCATCCCATCCCGTTGTGACAGTGCTGTGACATTCAGGAATTTTCACAGGACAGTGGTTCCCTGTCCCTTTCCCTGCCCATCAGACCCGTCCTGTGTCACTTTTCATGGCATTCCGCGGTGTCTTTACAGGGAAAAACAGCTTTGGAATGGGATTTGGGGTGTCCCAAGGAGCTGGGAGTGGATAAATCTCCTGTCACTGCAATGACTTGAGGATGTGCAGCTTTGCAGCAGGCTCTTGGCTCACTGCCCTCCTCAGATCTTCCCGAGTCTTGGGATTGGAATCGCGCGGATTTGCCGTGCCTGCAGTTTATTTTGTTTTGTTTTGTTTTGTTTTTCAACCTAAATTCCAGTAGCAGCTCGGGATTAAACCTGACCCCTGGCTCCTGCCGTCCCCGGGGGAGCTGGGAGAAATCCAGGACCTTGTGCTGAGGAAATTCCTGCCCCAATTCCTCCTGTCGTGCCCTCGCTGCTCCCCAGACCCCGCCGTTATCTCCTGTCAGCCTCTTCCTTATCTGCAGAGGAAAGGCGAGGGCCCAGCGCGTGTGGGGAGTTCCCACACCCAAAATCCCGAGTATTCCTGGAGCTGGGTGGTCCTGGAGGCAGCGGGCACGTGGGGATCTGTGAATTCCTTGCTGGGGCATTGTTCTTCCCAGCCCGGCTCCAAACCCTCCCAGCTGAGCGCTCCGATAGACACAGATAAGCACCGGGAGAAATGTGAAGTTAATGTTAGATAAACACCCCGAAATAGCTGCCAGCCGTGCCTGTGCCGCCGGGGGAGCTGGGGGGGAGGAGGAACAGCCTGACAGAATTCCCAAAAAGTGCCTGCTGCGCCCTTTTTCCAAGGGATTTGGCATTCCTGAGCGCAGTTTCTGACTTCTGCCCAAAGCTGCTGCTGCTGTTGGCATTGTCCCTTCCTGCTCTGGCCCCCTGAAGTGCCTTTTTCTGGGCTGTCCCGATGGTTGGGAAGGCAGCTGCTATTTATAGGATAAATCCAGGTTCTGTGAGTGCCGTAGGAAGCGTGGAAAAGGATGTGGATCCTGTTCTGGACAATGGAGCATAGATTTTGGGGGGGTTTGTGGGAATTGCTGGGTCCTGGGGAAGGGACAGGGAAAAGACACAGAGACAAAAAAGGGGAGGGGGAAGGGTTGGAAGCAGAGCTGATCCTGGCTTTTATCTCCCAAAATTCCCAAAATTTCGTGGAAGCAGAGCTGATCCTGGCTTTTATCTCCCAAAATTCCCAAAATTTTGTGGAAGCAGAGCTGATCCCGGCCCTTATCTCCCAAAATTTCCCGGTGACCCCTTTCGGTGCTGCCCATCCCGAGTGACAGCTCCTCCAGAGGGGACTTTGCTCCAACTTCTCACCTGGCTTTACAAAACCTGGCGGCGTTTTCCTGGCAGGAATGTTCCTGTACAGGTGGTCCCCTTCCCTATCATGGCATGCACCCCCGCTGGCATGTCGGAAAATCCTTTTATTTCTGGGATTTTCAATTTCCCCCCTGCCTTTAAAACACACCCGTGCCCGGATAAAGTTGTGGCTGCTCCTCCTGCGCCTCCGCGGAGCTTTAAAACCCCCTTAAAATCCAGCGTTTTCTCTTCTCCCTGGAAAAACAGAGCGCTCCAGGGCAGGGTCCTCCTCCAAACAGGTCCCAGCCCCATTTTTTCTCCGTCTCCCTTCCTTTTCTCCCCCGATCCTCGCTGCCGCCGGTGAGTCAGCGGTGACAAAGTCTTAATTGCGCCGCGCTGATGAATGGGATGCCCGCAGGTAATTGCCGGGGCTTTGGTGCCTCGCACATCCATTCATTAGGGTGGGGAGGAGACCGCTGGACTCTGATGTTTCTGTGGCCTGCCTGAGCGCCCCAGCCACGCCAATTAACACCAATTCCCATCTGCTGCAGAGCTGGGGGGAGAATTCAGCTTTTCCCCACTCAAAAAAAAAAAAAGAAAAAAAAAAAAAAAAAAAAAAAAACCAAACCCCGAGCTGTGAAAATGCCCCTTTCGGAGCCAGCCTCGGGCTGTGTTTTCTGCTGCTGGAGGAGGGGTGGTTTTTTCTTATTTTTCCTCCTTTGTCTGGCTGGGTTTTTGCCCTGGTTTGCTGCTCACCTCCTCCGGAGCTTGCCCTGGGGCTGCGGGAGGCGCGGCTGCGGGGAGGTGTCCGGACTTGACTGCGGGGAGAGAGCAGCTCAGGGCCGGGCAGGAGGCAGGAGGAGCGGCTGGGGAGGAGGCAGGGCTTGCTGAGAGCCTGCTGTGCCCTGCACACCTTCCTGAGACTCACCTGGGCTGCTGGGGAGGAGGCAGGGCTTGCTGAGAGCCTGCTGTGCCCTGCACACCTTCCTGAGACTCACCTGGGCTGCTGGGGTGACAGCAGGGCTTGCTGCGAGCTGCTGTGGGGCTGCACACCTTCCCCACACTCACCTGGGCTGCTGGGGTGACTGCAGGGCTTGCTGAGAGCTGCTGTGCCCTGCACACCTTCCTGAGACTCGCCTGGGCTGCTGGGGAGGCGGCAGGGCTTGCTGAGAGCTGCTGTGCCCTGCACACCTTCCTGAGACTCGCCTGGGCTGCTGGGGAGGCGGCAGGGCTTGCTGAGAGCTGCTGTGCCCTGCACACCTTCCTGAGACTCGCCTGGGCTGCTGGGGAGGCGGCAGGGCTTGCTGAGAGCTGCTGTGCCCTGCACACCTTCCTGAGACTCGCCTGGGCTGCTGGGGAGGCGGCAGGGCTTGCTGAGAGCTGCTGTGCCCTGCACACCTTCCTGAGACTCGCCTGGGCTGCTGGGGAGGCGGCAGGGCTTGCTGAGAGCTGCTGTGCCCTGCACACCTTCCTGAGACTCGCCTGGGCTGCTGGGGAGGCGGCAGGGCTTGCTGAGAGCTGCTGTGCCCTGCACACCTTCCTGAGACTCGCCTGGGCTGCTGGGGAGGCGGCAGGGCTTGCTGAGAGCTGCTGTGCCCTGCACACCTTCCTGAGACTCGCCTGGGCTGCTGGGGAGGCGGCAGGGCTTGCTGAGAGCTGCTGTGCCCTGCACACCTTCCTGAGACTCGCCTGGGCTGCTGGGGAGGCGGCAGGGCTTGCTGAGAGCTGCTGTGCCCTGCACACCTTCCTGAGACTCGCCTGGGCTGCTGGGGAGGCGGCAGGGCTTGCTGAGAGCTGCTGTGCCCTGCACACCTTCCTGAGACTCGCCTGGGCTGCTGGGGAGGCGGCAGGGCTTGCTGAGAGCTGCTGTGCCCTGCACACCTTCCTGAGACTCGCCTGGGCTGCTGGGGAGGCGGCAGGGCTTGCTGAGAGCTGCTGTGCCCTGCACACCTTGCCCACACTCACCTGGCTGGCCGGTGCCGCTGGGGGTGCCGTGGTTCCTCTGGGGGCAGGGAGGATTTTCCCGGCTCGTTCAGGGAGTTCTGGAACAATCTATTTTGAAATTCATGAAAATGATCCCTTTGTGCAAGGAGGAGAGTTTGATTTTTATCCCTGCAAAAATCCCAGCTGGACAGGCCTGGGAGCAAGCGGGTGCCCCAGCAGCCTCTGGGGGAAGGAAATGTCCTGGTGTTCATCCCGAGCTTTTCCATCCCAGATCTCTCCATCCCATCCAAACCTCTCCATCCTGAATCTATCCATCCTAAACCTTTGCATCCCAAACTTCTCCATCCCAGATCTCTCCATCCCAAACCTCAAGCCCGGCGTCCGATCTCTCCATCCCAAACTTCTCCATCCCACCTGAGCCTCTCCATCCCGAACTTCTCCATCCCAGACTTCTCCATTCCGAATCTCTCCATCCTAAACCTTTGCATCCCAAACTTCTCCATCCCACCTGAACCTCTCCATCCCAAACCTCTCCATCCCACCCAGATCTCTCCATCCCAAACTTCTCCATCCCACCTGAGCCTCTCCATCCCGAACTTCTCCATCCCGAACTTCTCCATTCCGAATCTCTCCATCCTAAACCTTTGCATCCCAAACTTCTCCATCCCAAATCTCTCCATCCCACCCAAATCTCTCCATCCCACCCAAATCTCTCCATCCTGAATCTCTCTATCCCACCAAACCTCTCCATCCCAGACCTCTCCATCCCACCTGATCCTCTCCATCCCGAACTTCTCCATCCCAAACTTCTCCATCCCAAACCTCTCCATCCCACCCAGATCTCTCCATCCCAAACCTCTCCATCCTAAACCTTTGCATCTCAAACTTCTCCATCCCAAATCTCTCCATCTCAAACCTCTCCATCCCACCCAAATCTCTCCATCCCAAACCTCTCCATCCTGAACCTTTGCATCCCAAACTTCTCCATCCCAAACCTCTCCATCCCACCCAAATCTCTCCATCCCAAACCTCTCCATCCCACCCAAATCTCTCCATCCCGAACCTCTCCATCCTAAACCTTTGCATCCCAAACTTCTCCATCCCACCTGAACCTCTCCATCCCAGACCTCTCCATCCCAAACCTCTCCATCCCAAACCTCTCCATCCTGAACCTCTCCATCCCGAACCTCTCCTGGCACAGCTCCAGTGTTCCTTCAGGCGCCGTCCCTGCCAGCAGCAATCAGAGCTGTCCCTGCTGGGGGAGCTGGAGCCTTCCAGGCCCCTCTCATTCCCAAATATCCACGGAAAGTGCTGGTCCTGCTCCTTCCTCGCTCCGAGGGAGGATGAGGAGGAGGATGAGTCGGAGTGGGGTTTTTTTGAGTTAAACACCAGCAAATTCCAGGGGGATTTTTGCCGTCTCTGGTGGGATTTGGGGTTTAACCACTCCTTTCACCCTGCTGGGAGCTGGGTTTGTGCTGAAGGACCAAAGAGGAGAGAAAACCCTCGCAGCAACCCCTCAGTGGCTTTGCAGGAGGAGCAAAACTCCGTCCCTGTCCCTGCCCATCAGCCCAGATCTGGGCTGTGCAGGGAGGGACACATCCCACGTAGCGATGTTCCCATTTATTTTTATTTTTGTAAAAATATACTTTTATATTTCTATTTTTTATAATTCTACTTTTTATAATTCTACTTTTTATAATACTATTTTTACATTTATATTCTTATAATTATATGCTTAATAATTCTATTTTTGTGTCCATTTTTTAGAATTCTCTTTTTATATTTCTATTTTATATTCTATTTTTTATAAGTCTATTTTTATATTTATATTCTTATAATTATGTTTAATAATTCTATTTTTTATAATTCTATTTTAAAATTCTACTTTTATCATTCTATTTTTAACAATTCTATATTTTCCCCATTTTTTTTTTCCCAATTCTGGAGCTTTGGGGTGGCTCAGCCCCCCCGGGGGACCCCCACCTTTCCTGCTGGAGCACAAACCCGTGTTGGGAGCGCGTGGCCGAGCTCTCCACCCCTGGGAGCAGCCGAGGCATGTGCGGCTCCAGAGGAGCTGTCACATCCCTGCTTGCACCTGGGCTGCTCCTGCAGCTCAGCTATGCAGCGGGGCAGGGGAGGCTGCAGTTTTTGCCGCGCTAATTTGGGTAATTTATCGCTAATTTGGGTAATTTATCGCTTTTTTCGCACGGGCTGCCCGGGAGCTCAGACCCCCCCCAAGCCCGGCGTCCTGCTCCGAATATTCCACCAGCAGGACAAAGTGTGAGCAAAACAGGAGGACGAGAGGGAGAGATAAACTCCTAAACTCGGTTCTTAACCTTGATTTGTGCCTGCAGGGCACAGGCAGCGCTGAGTTTATTCCCCTTTCCTGCTTGGCAGGTGAGGCTGGCGCGGAGCAGGAGGCTCGAGGCTCCCGTGGCCGCCAGGAATGTGGGAATGACCCCATTCCCGTCCTCCCAGGGACACTCTGGAGGAGTTTGGCTCAAGCTCGGCGTGAACTTTGAAGCCTTTTTGATCGGGGGGCTGAAATTCAGGCTGCAAAAAAAAAAAAAAAAATAGAAATGAATTCCTGGGATTGATCAGGGATCACGGGATTTGCGTTCCCCGGGGCCCCCAGCGAGGTTTCACCCCCTGGTTTGAACTCTGCAGCCTCAGATCTGGGCTGGGGGTGCTCAGGGGGGGGGATTTGGCACGGGGGAGAAGTTTCTGTGTCTGAACAGCCCCTCGGGTCCTGGGGGGGACAGGCAGAAAACTGGGAATGGTTCCTTTTGCCGGGGGATAAAATCTGTCTGCCAGGGCCACCAGGAGCCCAGGGAGGGGAAAGAACTGGTCAGGAAGGGAAAATGGGAGTCCAGGAGGGAAAAAAGGGGAAAAAAAGGAGTCCAGGGAGGGGAAGGAACTGGTCAGGAAGGGAAAATGAGAGTCCAGGAGGGAAAAAAGGGAAAAAGGGAGTCCAGGAGGGAAAAAAGGGAAAAAAAGGAGCCCAGGGAGGGGAAAGAACTGGTCAGGAAGGGAAAATGAGAGTCCAGGGAGGGAAAAGAGGGAGAAGAGGAGCCCAGGGAGGGGAAAGAACAGATCAGGAATGGAAAGAGGAGCCCAGGGAGGGAAAATGGGAGCCCAGGGAGAGAAAATTGGAGCTCAGAGATGGAAAAGAGGAGACCAGAAGGGAAAAATGGGAGCCCAGGGAGGGGAAAGAGGAGCCCAGGGAGAGAAAATGGGAGCCCAAAAGAGTGAAGAGCGGCGCAGAGAGGGAAAAGAGGAGTCCAGGGAGGGAAAAAGAGGAGTCCAAGAAGGGCAAGAAGAGACCAGGGAGGGAAAAGAAAAGGCCAGAGAGGGAAAAGAGGAGTCCAGGGAGAGAAAATGGGAGCCCAGAAGAGGAAAAAGCAGCCCAGGGAGGAAAATAGGAGCCCAGGGAGGGGAAAGAGGAGTCCGAGAAGGGCAAGAAGAGACCAGGGAGGGAAAAGAAAAGGCCAGAGAGGGAAAAGAGGAGTCCAGGGAGAGAAAATGGGAGCCCAGAAGAGGAAAAAGCAGCCCAGGGAGGAAAATAGGAGCCCAGGGAGGGGAAAGAGGAGTCCGAGAAGGGCAAGAAGAGACCAGGGAGGGAAAAGAAAAGGCCAGAGAGGGAAAAGAGGAGTCCAGGGAGGGGAAAAGAGGAACCCAGAGAGCGAAACAAGATCCCCCAAAACCACAACAACCTCTCCCCTCCCCGTGGCAGGTGCGGGTCTGGCGCTACCTGAAGGGCAAGGACATCGTCACCCACGAGATCCTGCTGGACGGGGGCAACAAGGTGGTGATCGGGGGCTTCGGGGACCCGCTGATCTGTGACAACCAGGTGGCCACGGGGGACACGCGCATCTTCTTCGTCAACCCCGCGCCGCAGGCGCTGTGGCCGGCGCACCGCAACGAGCTCATGCTCAACTCCAGCCTGATGCGCATCACGCTGCGCAACCTGGAGGAGGTGGAGCACTGTGTGGAAGGTGAGGACTTGGTGGGGTTTTTTTGGCGTTTTTGGGGGGTTTTTTGGGTTTTTTTTGGGTTTTTTGGGGTTTTTTTTGGGGTTTTTATGGGGTTACCAGTCTCTGAATGGGCAGTTCAACTCCAGCCTGGTGCGCATCACGCTGTGTGGCCTGGAGGAGGTGGAGCACTGCGTGGAAGGTGAGGACTTGGTGGGGTTTTTTGGGTTTTTTTGTTTTTTTTTGGGGTTTTTTGGGGGTTTTTATGGGGTTACCAGCCCCTGAACGAGCAGTTCAACTCCAGCCTGGTGCGCATCACGCTGCGCGGCCTGGAGGAGGTGGAGCACTGCGTGGAAGGTGAGGACTTTGTGGATTTTTTTTGGGTTTTTGTGGGGATTTTTTTGGGTTTTTTTGTGGAGTTTTTGGGGGGTTCCCAGCCCCTGGATGGGCAGGGATGGTGGTTGAGGGGTGTCGTGCTGGTTTGTGTGTGTTTAGGTGGTGGTGGCACCGATTTTGGGGCTAGTGGGTGGTGGGCAGGTGATGATTCAGGATCCCTGCCCTGTCCCATCCCTGGGCAGTTTCCAGGGATGTGAGGAGATTATCAGGAAGGCACCATCCCTGTCCCCCCCAAGCCCCGGGGTCCCTTCCCTCCTTCCCTCCCTGTGACAGAAATGTGAAACACCCCCGGGCTGGTGGCAGGAGCTGAGAGGCTCCATTTGTTGAGCAAATTCCTGTGGAATTTTAATCTGGAGTGGGAGGCTGGGACATCCTGCAGCACTTCCTGCAGGATCAGCTCCCGAGGCTGCCAGCCCGTTCCTCCTGCCCAGGAGCCCTGACCAGTAGCCCAGATCAGTTTCTCCCTGCCCAGTAGCCCTGGACTGGTCACTCTTTTCCCAGTAGCCCTGACCAGTCCCTGCCCAGTCCCTGACCAGTTTATCTCTGCCCAGTAGCCCTGGACTGGTCAGTCTCTGCCCAGTAGCCCTGCCCAGTCCCTGCCCAGTCTCTGACCAGTTTCTCTCTGTCTAGTAGTCCTGGACTGGTCAGTCTCTGCCCAATAGCCCTGACCTGACCAGTTTCTCTTTTCCCAGTAGCCCTGACCAGTTTCTGCCTGCCCAGTATCCCTGGACTGACCAGTCCCTGACCAGTTTCTCTCTGCCCACTAGCCCTGGACTGGTCAGTCCCTGCCCAGCTCCCCCTGCCCAGTCCCTGCCCAGTCCCTGCCCAGTCCCTCTCCAGTCTCTGACCAGTTTCCCCCTGCCCAGGATCCCTGGACTGGTCACTCTTTGCCCAGTATCCCTGAACTGACCAGTTTCCCCCTGCCCAGGATCCCTGGACTGGTCACTCTTTGCCCAGTATCCCTGAACTGACCAGTTTCCCCCTGCCCAGGATCCCTGGACAGGTCACTCTCTGCCCAGTATCCCTGGACTGACCAGTCCCTGAACAGTTTCTCTGTCCAGTAGCCCTGGACTGGTCACTCTTTGCCCAGTAGCCCTGACCTGACCAGTTTCTCTTTTCCCAGTAGCCCTGGACTGGTCAGTCTCTGCCCAGTCCCTGCCTAGTCCCTGCCCAGTCCCTCTCCAGTCTCTGACCAGTTTCCCCCTGCCCAGGATTCCTGGAATGGTCATTCTTTGCCCAGTATCCCTGGACTGACCAGTCCCTGACCAGTTTCTCTCTGCCCAGTAGCCCTGGACTGGTCACTCTTTGCCCAGTAGCCCTGACCTGACCAGTTTCTCTTTTCCCAGTATCCCTGGACTGACCAGTCCCTGACCAGTTTCTCTCTGTCCAGTAGCCCTGGACTGGTCAGTCCCTGCCCAGTCCCTGCCCAGTCCCTGCCCAGTCCCTGCCCAGCTCCCCCTGCCCAGCTGTGTTCCCATGCCCTGTCCTGGCACGGATCCTGCCCTGCCAGCCTGGAATTCCAGCTATGCCTCCCTGGGATCCAGGGCAGCCTCCCCTTGGGACCCTGCCAGCAGCTCCGGGCACTTCCCGGCCTCTTCCCAGGAATCTGGGCAATGCCAGGGCTCGGGAGGTGCCACTGCTGCTGCTCCGGGGAGTTTGGGCACTTTCCAGGGGTGTGAGGGGAAAATCAGGGTTATCATTGGTGCCTCAATTCCAGGGAATTCGGGGAATTTCAAGGGATGCGTGAGGAATTTTGGGGAGGTGCCACCGCTGCCTGCTCCAGGGAATTTGGGCAATTTCCAGGGATGTGAGAGGATTATCAGGATTATCACTGGTGCCTCAGTTCCAGGGAATTTGGGGAATTTCCAGGGATGTGAGGGGAGTATTGGGGAGCCCCATTGGTGCCTTTTCCATGGAATTTGGGCACTTTCCAGGGGTGTGAGGGGATTACCAGGATTATCCTTGGTGCCTCAATTCCAGGGAATTTGGGCAATGCCAGAGCTCTGAGGGGAAAACTGGGAGAGGCACAGCTGGTGCCTTTTCCAGGGAATTTCAGCAGTTTCCAGGGTTGTGAGGGGAGAATTGGGGAGCCCCACTGGTGTCTCTTCCATGGAATTTGGAGAATCTCCAGGGGTGTGAGTGGGATACTGGGGAGGCACCACCGGTACCTCAATTCCAGGGAATTTGGGCAGTTTCAAGGGATGCAAGAGGAATTCTGGGGAGGTGCCACTGCTGCCTGCTCCAGGGAATTTGGGCAATTTCCAGGGATGTGAGGAGATCATCAGGAAGGCACCACGGTGCCTCAATTCCAGGGAATTCAGGCAGTGCCAGCGCTCTCCAAGGCACACAGAGGGAATATTTGGGAGGCACCTGCCTTGCCCAGAGCAGCTTTTTCAGGATGTTTTTCCCCCAGCATGCTGGATTTTGGGCTCTGCTGCCCTGCTGGGAGTGGAAAGCAGCTGTGCTGTGGCTTTTCCACGGCGCTGGTGCAGCCGTGCCCTCCATGGAAATGGAATTCTTTCCCACTCCATCTCCCGGATGTGTCCCGTGGCGAGGTTTGTTTGCTGGCTTTATCTCCCGTGGCCCAGCTTTGTTTTGGAGCCGCTCAGTGGAACATCAAAGGATGGATTTTCCCACCCACTCACTCAGGAAAACACTGGGGGCTGGGCTGAGTTTGGGTCCAGGGCTGGTTTTTTGGGTCCAGGGCTAATATTTTTGGGTCCAGAACTGGTTGTTTTGGGTCCAGGGCTGTTTTTTGGGTCCAGTGCAGATATTTTTGGATCCAGGGCTGATATTTTTGGGTCCAGAGCTGGTTTTTTGGGTCCAGAACTGGTTGTTTTGGGTGCAGGGCTGGTGTTTTTTGGGTCCAGGGCTAATATTTTTGGGTCCAGGGCTAATATTTTTGGGTCCAGGGCTAATATTTTTGGGTCCAGGGCTAATATTTTTGGGTCCAGGGCTAATATTTTTGGGTCCAGGGCTAATATTTTTGGGTCCAGGGCTAATATTTTTGGGTCCAGGGCTAATATTTTTGGGTCCAGGGCTAATATTTTTGGGTCCAGGGCTGGTTTTGGGGTCCAGGGCTGTTTATTTGAGGTCCAGGGCTGGTTTTGGGGTCCAGGGTTGTTTTTTTTTTGGGTCCAGGGCTAATATTTTTGGGTCCAGAACTGGTTTTTTGGGGTCCAGGGCCGTTTATTTGAGGTCCAGGGCTGTTTTTTGGGTCCAGGGCTGTTTTTTGGGTCCAGTGCAGATATTTTTGGATCCAGGGCTGATATTTTTGGGTCAAGGGCTGTTTTTTGGGTCCAGAACTGGTTTTTTTGGGTCCACGGCTGGTGTTTTTTGGGTCCAGGGCTGATATTTTTGGGTCCAGGGCTGTTTATTTGGGGTCCAGGGCTGTTTTTTGGGTCCAGTGCAGATATTTTTGGATCCAGGGCTGATATTTTTGGGTCCAGGGCTAGCTGTTTTTTGGGTCCAGGGCTGTTTTTTGGGTCCAGGGCTGATATTTTTGGGTCAAGGGCTGTTTTTTGGGTCCAGAACTGGTTTTTTTGGGTCCACGGCTGGTGTTTTTTGGGTCCAGGGCTGATATTTTTGGGTCCAGGGCTGTTTATTTGGGGTCCAGGGCTGATTTTGGGTCCAGGACTGGTTTTTTTTGGGGTCCAGGGCTGATATTTTTGGGTCCAGGGCTGATATTTTTGGGTCCAGGACTGGGTTTTTTGGGTCCAGAGCTGATATTTTGGGGTCCAGGGCTGGTTTTTTTTGGGTCCAGGACTGGGTTTTTTGGGTCCAAGGCTGGGTTTTTTGGGTCCAGAGCTGGTTTTTTTTGGGTCCAGGTCTGGGATTTTTAGGGTCCAGGGCTGGTTTTTGGGTCCAGGACTGGGTATTTTTTGGGTCCAGAGCTGTGTATTTTTGGTTCCAGATACACTTTTTTTTGGTGCAGGGCTGTTTTTTAATCCCGAGCTGCTTTAATCCAGGACTCATCCCAAGCCTGCTGCCTTCTTTTTCCTGCCTTGGACAGGCAGACCCAGGTTCCTGCTCTGCTTCCCCAGGATTTGCTCAGGGAAGGGGGAAGGAGCTGGAATTTCCCTGCTGCTGGAGTGGGATGAAGCTTTTTTCGGGATGCAGCACCAGGAACCTGTCAGGGTTCCGTGTCCAAATCGCTTTGGACACAACAGGATTCTTCCACTTGGAAGCGATGGATAAAATCCGCTGGGAGGTTTGGGAGGGGTTTGCTCTGCTTCAGACTGAGCATTCCTGCCAAATTCCCTTTAAACCCTGCATCCCAAAGCTTCTCCTGCCTCCAGCTGATCCCCTCGGTGCTGCTGTGGCTCATGGAAGCACCGAGCTCAGCACTTCCAGTCCCCAGTTCCCAGGCACTGAGGCAATCCGCAGAAATCCCAGCTGGAATTGTTCTTCCGTTTCTCCCAGCCCTGCTCAGACCCTGCACTTGTCCTTTCTGTGCCCCAGGGAGCCTTTTCCAGCCTCTGGAAGGGCCTGGAGCTGCCAGGATGCCTCAGCAGTGTCCCTGCTTTGGGGTTTTTTTTTGGTTTGGGGTTCCAGGCTCGGTGGGGATCCCTTGGGATTCCCTCCAGCCCAGATCCCCCTTTTCCATGGAGGTTTTGTCCCTCAGGCTG